GTCCTGAGCCTAGTTCTGCTAAAAGTTTCTTCCTCATGAGGGAGTTTTTCCTTTCCACTGTCACCTTGTTGCTCAATACGAGAGTCTGTGATGGAGTTAAATTCAAAGCAGTCTGCTCTTCAGATAAATAATGTTAACTTGTTATTTTTATATATGAATGTTTCTGTTCAGTGCCCTGAGATGACTTCTGTTGTCACTTGGTGCTGTATAAATGAACTGAATTGAATGATTTTAGTTTAAATATATCATTTATTTCTCACCTCTACAACACTTTCAAAATGAGAAGTTTATGGAAGTTGACCAGGATCAAAATCGAATATTAAAATAATTTCACAATGAATTATTAACTCAGCTTTAACTTGTTTTTCCTGTTGGACCTAAATCAGTGTCTCTGTATTTGGAGCCTAATCTTTAAACTATCATGACTGTTGGTTTATTTGGAACCAAGGTGTAGACAGACAGAAATGAGGGAGCTTAAAGAATAAATCATTTATTTAAATAAGAAAAACAAATGCTGACGTGGCAGCAAAACTTACATTTTCTGTGAAACGTGGAGGGAGGACAGAACACGACTCCTTACAGGATGATCCACGGACATGGGGACAGTAAAGAAATGCAGAATATAGAGACACTAAGGAGGCGATAAACACGAAGACCTGGGGAAGGACAACAGGTGGAGGAGGTCGGAGCTGGTTACATGAGGAGGGCAGGGCATGACGACAGAACCACAAAACACACACAGATCCTCTCATAAACTTCAACAACAAAATGAGCTTACAGTGAAACAATGTCTCTTATTTTATCTTCTGTAACGTATGACTCTTTCTCACAGTGAGAGGATCTGAACCACAAAAACCAGAGTAAATCATTTCAACAGAGAGAAGCAGACGTGCATTTTCTCATTTGTGTGTCTGAGACAAGTACACCAAGGGGGGAGTTTTTTTTTTTTTTTTTGACTGTGTAGACAAAGTGAGGAAGCAATTAGATCAACTGGAATCACACCAAAATAAAAAAGAAACTTCAAGGATTTTCCTCTAATAGTTATGATTTTAAAGGTTTAAGAGGTCGTGGAGCGAATGAACCCCTTTCACTTTGTCCAGTGCATGAATTTACCTTTAAATCTGACATGAAATGATGGCAGAGTGTATTTTTTCTTGATAGTACATGCTGAGTCTTTGGGAACGATTTAAACAGAATAATCAGTATAAAAAAAGATTATTTTCAGCTGGCTGTCCATGACACATGCACGCCCCACGGATACTCCCGGTCTACCAGGTGGTGGTCCGGCTGCTGCTTCTTGGAAAGATGACACATTGTGTAACTTTCTTCAAACAATCCTGACTTCTCAGCCGTGATTATCTCTGAGAGTCGATCCAGAGAAACGTTTCAAGTATTCACATTGCAGTAAAGCTCATCAGCAGATAAAGATATGACCCGATCTTTGATTGGAAATAGAAAAACTGCTTTTTTTTTTCAATATCCTGACACATTGTCATCTAATGTAACACCACTTTTTATCTTTTTTCCTTGGAAAAAAAAAAACTTACTAATTTATAAAGTGCCAAGAAATATTAATTAATGACATGTTTAAGCTGTCAAACTGCTTTATACTGCGTGTATTTCTGATGTTATATTTATGTGATTGTTTCTAAAGTAAAATAAGTTGTTTAAAATTTCTGTACCGCTTTACAATAAGTCTCCCCTTGTAGATGCTAACATATAGTTTATGGATATGTTATTAATTCCTCTATAAACACTTTATAAACCATTAATAACTGCTTATTATGCATTAATTAAGGGCCAGAAAGAGACAAAACTGACCAGTTTGTTGCCAAATAATGAGACAAATCTGTTCACCTATATATTTCATCTAGAGTTGTTATATTAAACATTTCAGACTAAGTTACTACCTTGTAAGCAATCCATCTATAATATTTAGCAACTTATTTCTTTCTGAAGCACCCATATCCAGCAGTCACTGTTCAAGGGCGCAGGGGGTGGGGGGTACTCATGCACCGAGCAGTGAAAATAAAATAATAAAATATTCAAACTTTGTCAGGTCGTTTTACCCTGGCAGGGTCATTTAAACATAAGTGGCTTGATACTAAATGATATTAACATTTGATCTCTTGATCAATCATTTGAATCAAATACTAATCAGGATTAAAGGAGAAATAAAAACACTAAGAGTGTTCTGTTTCGCTGCCATGGGCTGATTCAAATGCCGAAATAGAAAACACTGAGGTTTCAACAGATCCATGTCAGGATTAGTGAAGAAATGATTTAACATTTTTAATTAATTAAAGAAAAACATGTATCTACTGAAATGAATCAAACAATGAAATGTAAAGACACATTTAGTATTTTATGTTAGTTTTGTGTCTTGTCTGTTTGCTGCATTAAACAGTCACTCTAACAGCTGACCCAGATTTCCATTGGTCTCTTTAAAGCTTCTCATTATGATTACAGCTTACATAAACCGAGCGTGGCGACCCCTGAAGAGTAAAACACTAAAACATGTTGCTCGTGAAGGATTCCACTTTGCTGCCATCAACAAAACAAAGCACATTAAAGGCCTAGCGTTCCTGGAAGGACGCCTGCCTTTAGTGCCAGAGGTCTGAGAAGAGATGGAGTGGTAGCCATTTTGATCAAACCTTGTAAATCAAGTTCAAGTTTCTTTATAGTCATTCGCACCACATTTGGTACATTAGGTGGAACAAAATTGTGTACTCAGGGTCCCAGTTACAACCAAAAATAGCAAAAATATAAAGTGTAAAAAGAAACAGTATATAAGGATCTAGGATAAACGCTAAACAGACACAAATGGCCTTCTGCTTGATCTAAAGAGACATCACATGAGATGTAAAGAGTCTCAGAGTCTCTATTGAGGATGACTCTCAGCTACGATTGAACTTGAGCTCAATATCTGTTAAACAGAGTTAAAAACATTTTTGTTTTTCTTAATAAAAAGGATTAATGCCGATTAGCTGTGGTGGCCATCTTGAATTGTTTGGGCTTCAAAAGTTACTCAGTTGTTCAGGCTGATTCTTCTGTTCAGGGCTTTGGTGGATTTTTGTCCCCTCGAAAGTCTTGAGTTTCAGATCGTGTTCATCTACTGTGAGTTGTTTTTTTTTAGACCCGACACGTCTTCTTTTATAAAGTGTTTAATTATTATTTTTATTAACGTTTTTGTTAACTTATGATTTTTATATATGAATGTTTCTGTTCAGTGCCCTGAGATGACTTCTGTTGTGACTTGAATATATTTTAAAGACCCCCAGCCTGGAGAACTACGGACCAAAACCTCTTCAAACAATTACAGGAAAGTCTGCCTCCAAATATAAAAATGTAGAAATAGTTTAAAACTTCATATATATATTTTTTTCCTATTTTCTCAATGGGTGGCACGGTGGCGCAGCTGGTAGAGCTGCTGCCTCTAAGAAGGGAGCCAGATCAAATCCCGGCCGGGGGCTTTTCTGGGAGAAGTTTGCATGTTCTCTGTGTGGGTTTTCTCCCACAGACCAACAACATGCATGTTAGGCTGATAACTCTAAATTGTCTCTATAGGTCTGAGTGATAGAGTGAATGGTTGTTTGTCTCTGTGTGTCCCTGTGAGGGACTGGAGACCTTCCAGGGTGTCCCCTGCCTCTCATGCAGTGACTGCTGGATATGGGCACCAGTGACCCCAGTGACCTGAAAAGGAAGAAGCGGGTAAAAGATAATGGATGGATGGATGGATGGATGGATGGATGAAAAAAAGAATGCAGCTTAGCTTACAGAATGCAAATTAATTTAAAACGCTCATTCAGTCACTGTCAGCCAGAATTAAATTAACGCTAAAACAGATTCTGTGTATACATACTTTACTCAGTATTCTTTATAACTTCAGAGTCAGAGAGTCATTATTGTTGTTCACACCACATGTGGTACATGTAGTGTGAACTAAAATATGCACACAGAGTCCCAGTTACATCCAACTGCAAAAGAAAAACAGTAATAACATCTAAGATACGAACTAAGAAAAACATCAACTAAAAATACACTGATCACTAGTAGCCTAAAAACATTACGTCAAACAGCAGCACGGTCATGAGTCTGTGTGAGCAGATGAGCACGCATGAACACAACGTGCAACAGATCAGCAGCAACATGAAACAGATCAGCAGCAACATGATCTGATTTTTCACAGTGATTATCCTGATTAGAGATTCATGAGTCTCACAGCCTCAGGGTAGAAGCTGTTCCTCAGTCTAGTGGTTCTACACTTAATGCTCCTTAACCTCCTTCCTGAGGGGAGTGGGGCAAAAAGTGTGTGTGCTGGGTGAGTGGGGTCCTTCATGATGCAGGTGGCTCTCTTCCTGCATCTGGAGGTGTAAATGTCTGTGAAGGTGGGGAGACTGACTCCAACAGACTTCTGTGCAGCCTTCACCACTCTCTGCAAAGCTTTTCTTTCTGCAGCTGTGCAGCCTCCATGCCACACGTTGATGCTGGAGCACAGGATGCTCTCCACTGCACACCTGTAGAAGGAGGTGAGGACTGAGCTTCCCAGTCCAGCTCGTCTCAGCTGCCTGAGGAAGTAGAGTCTCTGATGAGCTTTCTTGATCAGGCTGGTGGTGTTGATGCTCCAGCTGCGGTTGTCATTCATGTGCACACCTAAGTACATGTAGATGGAGACCACTTCCACTGCAGATCTTTGTTTTTTTTGTTACAGTTTGTCTAAAGTCTCAAACAATGCAGCACACAGTGTGACTGATAACTGCACATAATTCTCTGTTAAATTTGATGTTTTCCTCGTGAGAACACACCTGAGTTTCTAATACAGGATGAGGAGGTAAAGCTGTTGCAGGGACTGAAGTTTCAGTTTGGGATAAAAAACAGAAACTGAACCCATCCTCAAATCATTATTCTGCAACATCCGACTTTAAAGGATGTACGCAACAGTTAGCTGCTGTACTTGAACCTTTTGTTTCTTCCCGTCTCTCTATTTCTCCCCCGTGCAGCTGAGATGTACTCCGCGGCAGGCAGTGAAGGCAGCATCTCTCCATCGGTGGGATCTGCAGCTCTCCAGGCCTCAGGCAGCACCAGCCCCTGCTCGCGTGCCTCTTCTGGAGGATCACGACACCCTGTCAGTGCCCTGAAGAAATGGCTCACCAATCCCGTCCGGAAGCTGAGCTCTGATCCCAGAAGCGGAGCGGGGAAAGCTGAGAAGCAGATGTTCAAACCAGATGGGAAAGAGCAGACATTGCCTCTGTCCAACAGTGAGACTCAGCAAAGTTCTCTGGAAATGAACAAAAACTACACCATCATGTCTTCTGATCAGAAAGACATGGTAAGACATTACAGCCTGAACAAAGAAACACTTTACACTACTCGACTCTGACAGTGTTTATTTGTGGACAGGAGTGGAAAGGTCACACAGATCCACCTCCGTCTCAGCAGAGTTTTTCATGTGACCTCCTGCAAAGCAAAGAGTCCCAGAGTCTGGTAATATTTGCAGGTTTATTCCTCTTTTACTACCATAAAACATAAGAATGTACATTTCAGAGAATCCCTCATTCAAGAAATACAAAAAACACATGTAAATTATTTATTAAAGCAGGTTGACAGTGTCAGTAAAAAGTTTTGCAGCTTTCTAAAGCTATTTCAGGACAAAACATCCTGCCTGATTAGATTAGTTTTGGTTGCATTAGCTCATGAAAGATATATTATTTTGTTGTGGAGACAAATAGGCACAATCTTGAAAATAATGAGTGTTATAAGTTGTGATATTGAAAGATTTACCACAATCTATTAACTCGGAGTATGTGTTAGGGATGACTCGCAGCTACCACCACATCAAAGCTGAACTCATTTTCTATCAAAGTGACTGAGTATAGCTATGCTTTGTCTTTGCTATCAGTTAACCATGGCAGCCATCTTGAATCAGATTGGCATCAGCAGTTTTTAGGTGGCTGTACATGAGATAATTTGCTGACATGACAGATAAACACACACAAAGACACAGGAGGTTACATCATCATCTGCATTTCACGGCTATGTGCAACAAAATACGTTTTTAAAAGGTTAAAGTCAATTTTAACCAACAACGTGCAATATTCAATTGGAGAAATGACTCTGCTCATTTTCAGTATGAATGAGCTGAAGACAAAATCATTTAATAAATATCTAACAAGGTTAAGTCATGTTCTCTGGACGGATTCTTTTTTTATACATCGGGGAAACTACTGGCCAAAAGGATGGACTAGCACAGAAGAGCAACATCATCAGGTCAGGCCTCTGTGGTCTACACTCATCTGCAGGCCAGCGGTCACTTGTTCAGGGATGAAGATCCTTTATGGAGAGGAACGCTGGTTTGAGAGAGGAGTAAAGGAGGCCATCTTTGTGAAGAGAACCTGCTCATCATTAAACATTATGATCGATCGTTAGGCTGATGGGCCCTTTTGCATGTGAGCAGCTAGTTCTGGCTGTCAGCAATAAACTGGTTGATCCACTATGAGAAGGGGCTATAACTATAATATTTATAAGACTCAGTTTGTTGCAGCTCCTCAGACTGAAGAAGTATTTTGGATAAAAGATGAAACGTTTCAACAAAGAAGAATTCGTCCAGATGACCTGACTTAACCTTAATAGATTTATCTAGCTGGATTACTGAGCATGCATCAGGACATTTCATAAATACCAATCACTTTACTCAGTCAGTATCTTCCTGCCTGAATCAGTACTTTAACTTATATGAAAATATGCAGTTGTTGTCTTCTTGCTGAACATTAGCTGAAAATATCCCCAACATTCTCTTGTCTGTGATGTAAATATAAATGTACAGCCAGCAACCTGTTTGCTCAGTGCAGCTCCAGAAACAGGAGACGCAGATGTGGTTCTGTCCAAAGATAACAAATCCTTCCAGCAGCATGTCTACAACGCAGTGATTATTATTAATATTGTAATTATTGTTGTGTCTTTTTCATTTATTCAAATGTAGAAGTCCATAAAACAACAAAAATGCAGATTATGTTTGTGAAGAACTAGTCTTTTTTGTAAAGTGATAGAATATTGTTAGCATGTTCTGTGTGAGCTGCTGATTCGTACAGAATAAATGTCCGATCTCGCCTTCCTGTTTACACCTCCATGTTATACTGGTGTAACAACAGTTTGCTGCCCAGGCGTCACAATGGTTTCCTCTGTTTCCTCAGAGTCAGCAAGGAAAAACAAAAGCACTAAATACCATTTGCAAAAAGTTTTCCCTCGGAATTCCTTTAGATGTTGAGAAATTCCTGCAAAAACAAAAAAAGCACATTTTGGTTGTTTATAATCATCTAATGATTATAAATTCTTACAGATGCTCAGCAGTGAATAAAAGGCAGAGATCCAATCAAAGACTGTGAATCAGCCTCAGATTGTTTGTACAGACAGGATGCCTGCTGCTGGGTGAGGATGTGAACAGAAAGAGCGAAAGAACAAAAAGAGGAGACTCTGAAAAACACCCAGAAAAGATGAACTAACAGCGCTTTGTTGACCTACAAATGTGCATCAACTCTACAGGAGGATTAGAGATCTGGTGCGTAAAGACAGAGGACAAAATGTGTTGAGACAAAAGTATGTCAAGAGGATTACTGTTAATTTCGCATTAGATGGTTGTGCGTTTGGGTGAGGAGTGATATTTATTATAAAACCCCTCTCTGTGCTCGGGTCAGTTGCTCTGGTATCTGTTATACAGCCTGACAACCTGTACAGCTGTCTCATCTGCAGGGCTGAAACAAGGACTCTTTACTCTCTCCTTGAATAAAATTAGCACCCATTGAAGACATGCATATCCTTCACCAGTTTGCATGCCAATATTTTGAATAAAAACTTAGCATGGTCTGTCCGAGTATGTTTGAGATGACTCCCAGCTACCAACATGCCAAATTGTAGCTCAGAATCTGTAAAAACTAAGTCCTAATCCTTGAAGTGTTGCTCATGTGTATTAGTGATAATTAAATACAAATACACAATATATTTCCTGCATTTCAGCCCCACATGGAGCCTTCTCCATCCCGTCAGATAACCTGAGTTGTGCTGTTTGTGTTTCAGAGTCAGACGTCCACTATGAACACTCTGCCTGGTGAGGAGAACTGCACGGCGGCTGAGGACTCGAGCAATCCATGCTCTGCTGCTGTGGACAGCGAGGAAGAGAAAAACACTGCCTTGGAGAAAAGCTTGTGAGTACTGAGCTCCACGTGAAAGGAAAACTTTCAGATGAAATGCTGCTTAAGACATCAGGAAACCTGTAAATTAGTATTTTACTGAAACAGGAGGGGGACAGATAAAAAAATCTAATTTAAATGTTAAATGAGATGAGAAAAATTGCATTTTCTGCATCAGTACAGAGTGAATATGATTGCTCAATGACTGTTAACATTTGTAGATGAAGCTAAAATGGTGTTCATCCATCCATTTTCTTTACCTGTTTTTTCCTTCCTGAGTCACGGGGAGCTGGTTATCTCCAGCAGTCACTGTGTGAGAGATGAGGGACACCCTGGACAGGTCACAAGTCCATCACAGGGACACACAGAGACAAATGAGACAACTATTCACTCTCTCACTCACACCTAGGGACAATTTAGAGTTACTAATCAGCCTAACATGCATGTTTTTGGTATATGGGAGGAAACCAGTATGTGCAGAAAATGCAATTAAACTTCACCTAGATAATGACTTTCTCACTGTGAGGCAAAAGCTCAAACAACTGAACCATTGTGCCACCCCTGAAACTGAGTTGTTCATGGTAAACCAAGCAGAACACTAGCTAAAAGTAAAAAAGAAGAAAAAAAAAGAAAATTGCTAGCTAAAAGCTAAAAGAAAAACACTGGCTAAAATGTAAACAGCTAAAAATAACAAAATGCTAACTGAATGTTAAAAGTAGCAAAATGCTAGCTCAAAGCTAAACTTAGCTAAAGTCTGTCTAACAGCTTTAAGTAGCAAAACAGTAGATAGAAGCTAAAAGCTAGCTGAGACACAAAAGTAGCAAAATGCTATCTAAAAGCAGCAGTTTAAAGTAGCATAAAACGAGTAAAATGCAACAAACGGCTGGCTAAAATCTCAAAGTAGGAAAAGGTTCACTCAAAGATAAAAGTTTTAAATCAGTAGCTAGAAGTTAAAAGTGGTTAAAGACGAGCTAACTCTAAAAGTTGCAAAATGCTTGCTAAAACAGTAAAATTTTAGCCTGAATGAGCAAAAGGCTAGTCAAAAATAGCAAAATATTAACTAATATCTAAAAGCAAAACGGCAGCTGAAAGGCTAAAATAAGTGAAAGGATAAAAGCAAAAAGAAGTAGCAGTGGAAGACAAACAGAGAAGTAGACAATGAACGATATTTTTTTAATGGAAATATTAATTTGAAAAGTAAAAACCTTAAAGTCATGGCACCCACCTCCTGAATGAGCTGAACGTTTTGATATGGCTACAAATAGACAGCAGCATGACAGCAGAACACAACATCCCATCAAGACAAGAAACACATTCCCTAAACCACTCCAGCTCAAATGGAGTTTATTTGACCCCAATCACAACTTAGTTCTGAAGAGTCCTGACAGTCGTGTTCCTTCTCAGATATGTTCTGGCAGAGCTGATCGAGACAGAACGGCTGTATGTTGAGGATCTGGGGCTCATAGTTCAGGTATGATTCACTACACATGATCCACATGAAGGCTGTACAAAACATTCACATTAAGACGTTCAGTAGCTGACTGGCCATGCGTCGTTTTGTTTGTAAAGGGCTACATGACCATGATGACCAGTCAGGGAGTCCCAGAGGACATGCGAGGGAAGGACAGGATTGTGTTTGGAAACATCCACCAGATCTACGACTGGCATAAAGAGTGAGCTTTGATCCTGGATGCTTCAGGAGCTGATCGTGTTCGTGATGGATCAGCGTGTGTTGCGTCCTCTCTGCGCTGTTTGTTTCACATCTTTCTTGGACCTTTCCTGTCTGACCTCTGCTTTGTGCCACACAGTTATTTCCTGGCAGAGCTGGAGAAGTGTGTGAACGATCCAGACAGTCTGGCTCAGCTCTTCATCAAGCATGTGAGTTATTTTACGAGGGCTTTAACTTTTCCCTCGCTGCATGTTTTCCATTTGAACGGAGGTTTGTTTCCTCATCTCAGCCTCCCACCGGTGCTGTAAAGCTTTGACCTGCTGCCATGCACATGTGCTTTCTTCAGTTTTCAATAGTGTATCTGCAAACTATAAAAGAACCTTTAATCACTCTGGTGAATAAAAAAAAAACCTGCCATCAGAGTTAACAGTCCACAGAGACTGAACTTTGTGTGGAAACAAACTCTCAGAACTCCTTATATTGTTGTCTTGCTCTAAACTAGCAGGAAATTACTTGAATGCTTTATAGCAGGGGTCTGCAACCTGCGGCTCTGGAGCTACATGTGGCTCTTTGGTCCCTCTGCAGCGGCTCTTTCAAGCTTTGACCAAAACTGGCATAAAACTGCATTTTATTGGTTATACAAAAAACAAAAAAGGATTAGTTCAAACAGTTTTGCTGTCATTTCTTTTGCAAATATGTGAACACTGGAGTGAGTACACGGAGTAAAACATACTTGATGCTTTATTTCTTTATATGAAGAACTGTCTGCATAGATTGTATATTTATTAAATTTTTTTTAAGTTGGTAAAAACTAAAATTTTTCCCCCCTTTACAAGAATCTCATCATTTTATTTAATAAATGTTAAAGATCATTAGATATATTTTGCTTTATAATGTCAACCTTACTGGCCACAAAAGCCCCCTCCAACAAACCTAAAGTGGCCCATGGGTCACCAGTTGATAACCACAGTTGCAGCAATTTGTTGCAGCTTCGGACATGTTGAATGTAGTGAACGAAGGTGAAAAAAGGCTCTTTTGAGTGTTGTGAAGCAACAAAAGACAGCAAATTGTTAAGGTTTATTGGCATTAAACTACAAAGTGAGTTTATGTTAAAACTGTATATAAAAAATAGGAAAAATAAATGATTCAGTGCTGTAATCATCCCACTTTTATCAGCATGCATGGCTAATTAAGCCACAGCTAATTAAACCCTTTTGTCTAAGCCACTGAAACAATTTAATTAAACCAATTTCCTCAACTAATAATAAAAAAACTTGAGTGGGGAACAAAAAACACAAACAGCGGTTCAGAAACTCACCTCTGTTCATTCTTTTTTTTTTTTTTGCACACACACACACACACACTTACACACTCACACAAGCGAACAATGTAGAATATTTAGATCTTTATCTCTGTTCAACTTGCAGGAACGACGTCTTCACATGTACGTAGTTTACTGCCAGAACAAACCCAAGTCTGAACACATCGTCTCCGAGTACATTGAGACATACTTTGAGGTCAGTCTAGGAACATGAAGTTGTATTTTCATCGCTTGTGGTGTCTCAACAGGTTGTTTTTCTACTAAACCTGTTTTTAAAACCTGAACTTTTCTTTGACAGGATCTCAGGCAGCAGCTGGGTCACAGGCTGCAGCTCAATGATCTCCTGATCAAACCCGTTCAGAGGATCATGAAGTATCAGCTACTGCTAAAAGTATTTATTATGTATACAGCATTTAACGTTCTTTATATCTGTACTTGTGAGGGACAAGGAGTGTGTTTTTTTTCTTCATAGATATAAATAGTTCTTCCTTCTTTGTTTTTAAAATTATAATTTCATTCAAATCATTTGGAAAAGTCGAACAAGTGTGTTTCTGTTTGTGACATCCTCAGGACTTCTTGAAATATTACAGCAAAGCTGGGAGGGAAGTTGAAGAGCTGCAGGTACGAATTCAGTTTTTGTGGAATTATTATTATTTTTTTAATTAAATAATTTTCACACTTAAATTGTGTGCCATAATGTAGTTTTTGTTGTTCTAACTTCATCCATCAGAAAGCGGTGGAGGTGATGTGTTTTGTGCCAAAACGCTGCAATGATATGATGAACGTGGGAAGGCTGCAAGGTTTCGAGGTACTTGCTCTTTTCTTCTTTGTTTTTCATATATCTGTGATTTCTTTATGGGAATTGTGCAATTCTTGCCTTAACATATTGTATTTTATTGTGTTGCAGCAAACTTTATCTTACCTCACTATAGAATCTCAATGTTTTTTATTTTATTTTATTTTATTGTATGTTAACATATCACATTGAATCATATTGAACTGCACTGAATCTAACCTTTAATATCTCACTAATATTTATCTAATGATACGCTACAGTTTCTTGTCATATAAAATTTTACTATATGACACTGAATTATAATTTACTGTGTTTAATCTAACCAGATCATATCTAACTACTTGGTATAATATACTGTTGTATCATATTACAACTTACTGTACTATATTTCACTATATTGTGTCATAGTATATTTTATTGTGTACAGGATTCTTGTCTAATCTTGAAATGTATCAAGTTTGAATTAGTTTTTTTATGTAATGAATTAAAAAAAAGAACAGAAAATTATTTAACTTTCCAGACTATTTTATATTCTTTCTTCTTTTTTTTAGATAAAAAAAAAATCTGTATAAAAAAAAAACAAAGTTCAACCAGGCAAAGCGCTTTCGCACTGATACATATAAAACATTATGATGATATTAGGATACATTTAAAAATGACTACATTTTTAAATAGGTCAGCTTTACATCATCTTCTACTAGTTTTGATTTTATTATTGAGGGGTTTGGACTCACTGACTTTAGAAACCACAAATGCATTTCTTGAGGGTTCATACAAACATTTATTTAGGAACTAGAATTAGTAATGAAAGAGGGGACCCTGTAATTTATTTGACCATAAACCCATTAGGAAAAATGCAAAAAAATGTTTTTGTGTGTGTGTGTGGTTTGTTTGCGTTATGCTTTTCTGTCTTTTTGGTTGGACTTTGTTACTTATTGGTGTTTGAAGTTTGCATAAAAAAAACAGACTACTGTAGAAATATAACCTATACCAGGGGCCTGCAATCTGCAACTCTGGGGCCACATGCAACTCTTTAGTCTCTTATCTGTGGCCCTTTGAAGCTTTGACCAAAACTAACATGATACTAGATTCAATTTATTTTTCTTTATACCCACAACAGAAAATGTGAGTTTTAGCAGTTTTTTGTTGTCAATTTTCTGTAAATTTGTGAAAGCTGATATACCATTTTGAAGTAATAAAACATACATTTAAAGTATGCAGAAAAATTTGGCATTTTGTTGGACAAGTTATTGATTTTTATTTATTTATTTATTTATTTATTTATTTATTTATTTATTTATTTATTTGAGCAAGATCCCACTGTAAGCCTGGAGGTTGGATAAATTAAGTAGCTAAATGTAATCAATATGTTTCGCTCCTTATATTAACTGTACTTAATTTTAAGTCCGAAAGAAAGACTCATAGAAGCATGTGACTCCGTATAAACAAATTTTCCCCTACTTTTGGTCTTTCCTTTTACCCTAAAATGTAAAAATATAAATAAATGTAAAATTTTATTATATATTTTTAGTTTTATAATGTCGCCCCAACTAGCCAGAAAAGCCCTCCTCCAACGACCTCTAAGTGGCCCATGGGCCACCAGTTGATAAGCAGGTTTTGCGGCTCCAGACACATTTTATTTAGTGAGCGAAGTGACAGAAATGGCTCTTTTGACCCAAAAGGTTGCAAACCCCTGAATCTATGATGACCTTCATATTCTAAAGTTCAAAACAGTCTAATAAGTGATCAGGAATTCTTAAAATAATTTTGTACATGGATCCCGCACATCTTATTATTTATCATTTTATTGCATTGTATTATGTATGCAATATTCAGATGTACTGGTTAAGTGGTCGCTACATCTAAGATGCAAAAACCATGACCGTGTCTGTGGGCTGCATGTTTCAGGGGAAAATTACAGCTCAGGGGAAGTTGCTCCAGCAGGACACTTTTTCTGTGAGCGAACAGGAAGGTGGCCTTTTGTCCAGAGCGAGGGAGAGGCGAGTCTTCCTGTTTGAGCAGCTCGTCATCTTCAGTGAGCCAATTGAGAAGAAAAAAGGCATCCCTTTGCCTGGATATACCTTTAAAAACAGCATTAAGGTAAGACAGTAGCTGTCAATAGATATCTTAATGATTTTCTTTCTTGAAGCTCAACATAATACTGATCTACTGAAGGTTTTTAACAACATTTTCCTAGCCACTGATGCAGGTGATTCTGTGCTGCTTATCCTATTGGACCTTACATCTGCTTTTGACACCACCGACCATGGGATCCTCATTTCTAGACTAGAGCAGTGGGTGGGCATCACAGGGTCAGCCCTCAATTGGATTAGGTCCTACCTTTCTGACAGAACCTTTTGTGTCAGTATCAAAGATTTGAGTTCAGCATCGGCAGCGCTTCAATGGGGGGTACCGCAGGGGTCCATCCTCGGTCCCCTTCTCTTTTCTTTATATCTGCTGCCATTAGATGCTATTTTCCACAATCACAACATTCCCTTTTATTTCTATGCCGATGACTGTCAAATTTACTTCCAGCTGAGGCACAGAGGCACACACTCTATTCAGCCTCTTCTTGACTGCCTGGCTGACATCCGGGACTGGATGGCTTTAAACTTCTTAATTTTAAACGAAAGGAAGTCTGAAGTCATCTTGTTCCATCCCAATGGCACGTTCATGAACCACTGCATTGACCTTTCCTCTCTAGCTCCGTTAAAGAAACAAAGAGTCACTAATTTGGGAGTGATAATGGACCCCTCCCTGAAACTTAGTCACGTAAACATGATTGTTAAATCCTGTTTTCTTCAGCTGAGGCGACTGTCTAAGCTGAAGCCCATACTGTCCAAAAAGAATCTTAAGACAGCAGTCCATGCATTCATAAAATCCAGGCTCGATTACTGCAATGTGCTTCTGTTTAGAATCAATCAGTCCTCCACTGCACGTCTACAACTGGTCCAAAATGCTGCAGCCCGATTTTTAACTGGTACAGGCCATAGAGAGCGCATTACTCCAGTTTTGGCCTCCCTGCACTGGCTACCTATTCACCTTCGGATCCAGTTCAAAATACTCATGTATGTTTTTAAATTACGGAACAGTTCTGCCCCATCCTATCTTACTGATCTCCTACAGCCATATGTCCCACCATGCTCTCTGAGGTCAGCAGACCAGATGCTCCTTTCAGTTCCAGAAACCCGTCGTAAGCTCAGAGGTGACAGGGCTTTCTCTGTTGCAGGTCCAATACTGTGGAATGAGTTGCCACTGCGTGTCAGGCAGACTCCCACACTCACAGTTTTTAAGTCTCGCCTGAAAACCCTCTTTTATTCCCTTGCCTTTGACACAGTGTGATTTGTTTTGATCCTGTCTGTAGTCCACAGTGTTGGCCATTTAGTTATTATCTGCTGCTATTTGTGTCTGTATTTTTATTTTATGTTTTCCTGTCCACTGTGCTTGTTTGTTTCTATTGTACAGCACTTTGGTTGGCCTTGTTGCTGTTTTAAGTGCTCTATAAATAAATTGGTATGGTATGGTATAATCACTTTGTGTGTGTAGGTCAGTTGCTTGGGCGTGGAGAGTCCTCTTGAAGAGGATCCGTGCTGTTTGGTCCTGACCTCCCGGGCGACTGACGGTAGCGTAACGCGCTTCATCATGCACGCATCGTCTCCAGAGATACAACAAGCATGGTTTGATGATGTGATCCAGATCCTAGAGACTCAGAGGAACTTCCTAAACGGTACCAGTGCTCAACTTTGCATCAACAAGTTCAAAGATTTAGAAACGATGCAACACATCTTCGTGTGCACCTGCAGCTCTCCAGTCCCCGATAGAGTACCAGCGAAGAGAAAGCATGTCAAACAGCTTAGGAAGGTGCGCAAAGTCTCCAGCTGTGTCATCACCTGGCCTGTCGTCTCCCCCGTCATCCTCCGTGGAGTGGCATCACCAGTCCTGTCTCCTGTCCTACAACAGCTCTCTGCCCTCTCTGCACTCCCCCCGACTCCAGCAGTCACTGAAGGTCGTACATGCACAGCAACAATCAGACATACAAACACGAATCTCTCTGTCTCATCTTCACTTTCCTCTTTCTGTTTTAAGGCGTCTAGCACGTGTGCTGAAACCCTTCGAGCGGCTCGCCCCCCGTTTTCCTCACACCATCAGCTCAGTTTGTGCACAGAGGTGAAACACGACTGCGGCACATTCAACGCCCTGTCACCCCACACCAATCACTGCCAGAAGGTCGGTCCTCTGTTAGGCAGCTTGTGGCGCTTTCAATACAAACAAACTACAAAATGTGTCAAGTTCTTTTATTTTGTGAAGAAAATATCACCAGATTTCTTTGAAGCAGCCACTCTGAATATTAATCTTTGTGAACAGTTCTTATTCAAGTCGACTTTTTTTTTATTTTGCAGCTGCATAAGTTCAATAATAACACCTTAATTGGTTTTTAAATGACCCAGGTCAAGTTGTCAGAACTTTAGTCTCATGTTTGTTGTCCCACTCACTCACTCATGTTGACAGGAAATCACTCTCTGGCTGCCTTTGTCAGATATCCTGTTGTTTCTCTGCGGCTTTACAAATCACTGCCAGTGTCACTTAGTCATTCAGTTTGTGGAAAACCTACTGACCTGCTGTTTTATCTTATTCATTAAGACTTCCACCTTAGAAAAGGAAATGGTTTGATTGAAGTGCATGTTTTTTGGCTGAGCCAAACTGGCCTGAGTTGTTCTTGTTCTCTTGGCTGTTGCTTTGTGTTTTTGGAGCAGCCATGTTTCCATCCTGATTTAGATGAGGAGAGGATGGAATATTTTCCCAAGTGCTTAGAAGAGTCAGTACAACAAGAACACGACTCTTGTACAGTGATGTAACAAGTCTGTACTACTTTGGATCAATTAAAAGAAATTACTTAAAGTGGGGTACGGTAGTGCCTCGTTTATTGCGGGAAATCCGTACCCTGAAGCCCAGTGATAAGTGAAAAACCATGAAGTAGGAATAGTAGTACAAGTAGTAAGTA